AACTTAAATTTTGAAGAAAAATGCTGCAAAAAGGTTTCTGATCTTAATTGGATGACAAAAGCAACACAAGCCAATTAGATGTAGCCATAATGTTAAGTTCATGAAGAAGAGGCTGCATATAAACCAATTTCATGACTTGAACAAAATAAGCAGCTGGAAGTAAGCTATAGATTGAGTCTTATTTGCCCAAATATTAACAAAGGTCCATCACATAGCAATTAAACCTACAACTACAAGCTGGAAATTTTCGAAACAGGAATTCTCACACTATCTGGATTGATAGTCATTGAACAAGATGAATAGCCAGCTTCAAGTTCTTCAATCGCCCTGTCTGCAAGAAATTGTTTTTAAACTCATCATTTACGACAACAGAAAGTAAGTCAATACAAAACGTTAACATAAATATTTTTTTTTCTTCCATTTTTAGGATATTTTCATTATTAAAAATAGGAATCGCCCCACCGTCCTGCCCAAACCCTATTAACTGATCCTTCGAAATTGAACTCAGGCAAGGAATTGTACATTAAGGTTTTTTCTAATAAGGAAGATGGTACCAAAAAATTCATCGAAAATTAATTCTTATGACTTATGACTTAATAATGCTTCCAATTATTTCTATGATTTATCCTTTTGGTGTTGTGTTCTATTCCTCATATTTAGATGCCGATAAAGTCACTGTTTATTCAAAGAACAATGCTGATGAACAATATGTTGGGAAATTATCTATCTGCAGAAGGAAGCTTTACAATTGGTATTGATAAATCTTCAGGGCGTAGTACAAAGATTGTATTATACATTAAAGAAGATCAGAACGAATATTTGGAAGAATCTAAGATCAAGAAAAAAAAAACGTCAAAGTTAAGTATAGAGTTAAGATGAGGAACTTAGCCAGACTTACAACTGAAGAACATAATTAATTCTACAAGAGCTCACAAAACGACTCGGAAGATCATTTAGCTGTTAAGCATTTCAGCGATGAATCCCAACTGGAATTCTTTGTATTGCTTTCTGTTCCGTGTCAAATCCCATTCGATTTATTTGAAGCTAAAAAGAAGAAGAATAACACCGAATTGATTGTTCGTCCTGTTTTCATTATGGACAATTGAAAAGATCTCATTCCTGATTATTAGAACTTTATAAAGGGTATTGTTGATTCCGAAGATTTACCACTAAACATCATTAAATGTCACAACAAAACAAGATTTTTCAAGTTATTCGTAAATTAATAAGCTTCATTACGGGTGAGAAAAAGAACATTCATGTTGTATTGTTACATGTCCTAAGTGGATGGTTCGTAAATGTTTTATGCAATAAATACTTAATTTAAATTTTGAATCTAAATATTTAATATTTTTTGCTTAACAATGGAACAAACAGGAACAAGCAATGAATAATTATTCGATGTGACTGATTAAATTGGACCGTTACTGACTGAAAAGTTAAAGTTAAATCTCCTTTACTAAGCGCTGATGATATACTAATTAGCATATAATAAAAATTATGTTAAATTTTTGAAATCAATTTTCTCTAAGGCTATAGATCTGTAACTCTATATTCCAACGATTTCAGCCCTTTATGTCCTTCCATCAGATTCAGCATGTGAGAACTTTTGACTTTAAATTAATCATTGTTTAAAGACATTGAATCATTTTGAATGAAAATCGCGACCTGCTTTATACTTTATGAAGTGATGATAATTAATCTTCAATCTGATTATAAGCTTCAATTTAGTACACTTTAAGCTTTTGTTTGATTTATGACAAGATTTAACTCTTCAAAATTAAGCAAACGATTTTAATTTAATTAAAGAGTTTGAAAAATTCATAAGCTGAATTCAACTTTCGACATGTTTTTCCCGAAAAAAGTTCTGCAATTCCTAAATGACACCCACAAAATCTGCTTCATTTTATAAATTTCTTCATCAGCAAACACAAAAAAAAAATGACGAAGCAGCATTTGAAAAACTCTTCTTTTTTTGAATTCTTCAAATTCAAAACATTGAAAAAAATATTTTAAATGAAGAAAATCTTGGAATGAAGGAGGAAGAAGACATAAAACCAGATGAAATGTAAGATGACTCCATATTAAAGGACAAAGGAAACAACACAGGATTACAGAGTTAAATGGCAATGAGGTTTACGATGACGATTTACGAAGAAAAAGTGAACTTAAAAGAGCAAACAAGCATGTATGAGACCATGAACGAATGAAAGGAATCAAGCTCAAAGTAAGTAATTGCTACTTTAATTCTTTATGAAACTGCTTCACCACTATGATCCTTGCGTAATCTTGAGAATACTACATCTCACTTTTATATTTTCTTCTTTTAACACGAAAAGTGGAACTGCTGAAAAATCTGATTTGAATTGCTTTTCAGACTTTCTCTCACTTTTTCTCCTTGATAACCGTTCTTTTCAATTTAATTTTTTCCAGTTCAGCACCAATTTTAAACTTTACGCTTGAACTTGAAAAACTTACATTTGGAGAAAAAATGCAGCATAAGCAAAAGTTTGGAAGTTAAAAATTGACCAACGAATTGAAACTCTTCAAATGTTAATGGAGCATTTTAAATGATGAAGATGAAGACAGCTCAATTCCAAGCAATTGATGATGAAGATAATAAAGGAAGTGAATTCAGCGACAATTGTCAAGAGTCAATGGAACAACTTCACGTTGATAATAAATACAGTTTAGAAGATGAGGATGAAGTCAGCTCAATAGCAAGCTAGCTCAAAAACAAACAGATTTGATGAAAATATCAAACCAATCAAGACAAAAAACGTGCAAAATTATCCATATCGCAAAGATTATATCCAATTTTATCAGATCAACGGCAGATTCACAAGTTCTAAGAAGAATGCCTATAAAAATGAAGAACCAGATAAGGAATATGGCTGTGCAAATAAAACTGCAAAGCTAAAAGGATCTTCCATGGACCTTCAATGAAATTGAAGAATGGACAACATTTTGAAAGTATCGTGAAACATTTCAGGAAACAGACTCATGTGTGAACAAGGAAACAAGCTCAAATTAAGTAATTGCTACTTTAATTCTCTATGAAAATGCATCACCACTATGATCCGTCTGTAATCTTGAGAATACTCCATCTCACTTTTATATTTTCTATTAATTGCTTCTCAGACTTTCTCTCACTTTTTCTCCTTGATAACCGGTCTTTTTAATTTAATTTTTTCCAGTCCAGCGCCAATTTCAAGCTATTTTTTGATACACATCGACTGACTAGCTGGTCATTAAGCAAGACGAATCACCAGCTTCAAGTTCTTCATCCGCCATGTCTGCAAGAAATCGATTTTTAACTCATCATTTACGACAACAAAAAGTAAGTCAACACGAGATTTTAACTTAAATAATTTTTTTTCTTCCATTTTTAGAATATTTACAATATCAAAAATAGGAATCGCCCCAAAGTCCTGTCCAAAATATTTTTCAGGAGTTGGAAAACTTACATTTTGGAGAGAAAATGCTGCAAAAAGGTTTCTGATCTTAATCGGGCAACAAAAGCAACACAAGCCAATTAGATGTAGCCATAATGTTAAGTTCATGAAGAAGAGGCTGCATATAAACCAATTTCATGACTTGAACAAAATAAGCAGCTGGAAGTAAGCTATAGATTGAGTCTTATTTGCCCAAATATTGACAAAGGTCCATCACATAGCAATTAAACCTACAACTACAAACTGGAAACTTTCGAAACAGGAATTCTCACACTATCTGGATTGATAGTCATTGAACAAGATGAATAGCCAGCTGCGAGTTCTTCAATCGCCCTGTCTGCAAGAAATTGTTTTTAAACTCATCATTTACGACAACAAAAAGTAAGTCAATACGAAACTTTAACATAAATATTTTTTTTTCTTCCATTTTTAGGATATTTTCATTATTAAAAATAGGAATCGCCCCACCGTCCTGCCCAAAAATTTTTTCGGCACTTGGAAAACTTAAATTTTGAAGAAAAATGCTGCAAAAAGGTTTCTGATCTTAATTGGATGACAAAAGCAACACAAGCCAATTAGATGTAGCCATAATGTTAAGTTCATGAAGAAGAGGCTGCATATAAACCAATTTCATGACTTGAACAAAATAAGCAGCTGGAAGTAAGCTATAGATTGAGTCTTATTTGCCCAAATATTGACAAAGGTCCATCACATAGCAATTAAACCTACAACTACAAACTGGAAACTTTCGAAACAGGAATTCTCACACTATCTGGATTGATAGTCATTGAACAAGATGAATAGCCAGCTGCGAGTTCTTCAATCGCCCTGTCTGCAAGAAATTGTTTTTAAACTCATCATTTACGACAACAAAAAGTAAGTCAATACGAAACTTTAACATAAATATTTTTTTTTCTTCCATTTTTAGGATATTTTCATTATTAAAAATAGGAATCGCCCCACCGTCCTGCCCAAAATTTTTTCGGCACTTGGAAAACTTAAATTTTGAAGAAAAATGCTGCAAAAAGGTTTCTGATCTTAATTGGATGACAAAAGCAACACAAGCCAATTAGATGTAGCCATAATGTTAAGTTCATGAAGAAGAGGCTGCATATAAACCAATTTCATGACTTGAACAAAATAAGCAGCTGGAAGTAAGCTATAGATTGAGTCTTATTTGCCCAAATATTAACAAAGGTCCATCACATAGCAATTAAACCTACAACTACAAGCTGGAAATTTTCGAAACAGGAATTCTCACACTATCTGGATTGATAGTCATTGAACAAGATGAATAGCCAGCTTCAAGTTCTTCAATCGCCCTGTCTGCAAGAAATTGTTTTTAAACTCATCATTTACGACAACAGAAAGTAAGTCAATACAAAACGTTAACATAAATATTTTTTTTTTTTCTTCCATTTTTAGGATATTTTCATTATTAAAAATAGGAATCGCCCCACCGTCCTGCCCAAACCCTATTAACTGATCCTTCGAAATTGAACTCAGGCAAGGAATTGTACATTAAGGTTTTTTCTAATAAGGAAGATGGTACCAAAAAATTCATCGAAAATTAATTCTTATGACTTATGACTTAATAATGCTTCCAATTATTTCTATGATTTATCCTTTTGGTGTTGTGTTCTATTCCTCATATTTAGATGCCGATAAAGTCACTGTTTATTCAAGGAACAATGCTGATGAACAATATGTTGGGAAATTATCTATCTGCAGAAGGAAGCTTTACAATTGGTATTGATAAATCTTCAGGGCGTGGTACAAAGATTGTATTATACATTAAAGAAGATCAGAACGAATATTTGGAAGAATCTAAGATCAAGAAAAAAAAAAACGTCAAAGTTAAGTATAGAGTTAAGATGAGGAACTTAGCCAGACTTACAACTGAAGAACATAATTAATTCTACAAGAGCTCACAAAACGACTCGGAAGATCATTTAGCTGTTAAGCATTTCAGCGATGAATCCCAACTGGAATTCTTTGTATTGCTTTCTGTTCCGTGTCAAATCCCATTCGATTTATTTGAAGCTAAAAAGAAGAAGAATAACACCGAATTGATTGTTCGTCCTGTTTTCATTATGGACAATTGAAAAGATCTCATTCCTGATTATTAGAACTTTATAAAGGGTATTGTTGATTCCGAAGATTTACCACTAAACATCATTAAATGTCACAACAAAACAAGAGTTTTCAAGTTATTCGTAAATTAATAAGCTTCATTACGGGTGAGAAAAAGAACATTCATGTTGTATTGTTACATGTCCTAAGTGGATGGTTCGTAAATGTTTTATGCAATAAATACTTAATTTAAATTTTGAATCTAAATATTTAATATTTTTTGCTTAACAATGGAACAAACAGGAACAAGCAATGAATAATTATTCGATGTGACTGATTAAATTGGACCGTTACTGACTGAAAAGTTAAAGTTAAATCTCCTTTACTAAGCGCTGATGATATACTAATTAGCATATAATAAAAATTATGTTAAATTTTTGAAATCAATTTTCTCTAAGGCTATAGATCTGTAACTCTATATTCCAACGATTTCAGCCCTTTATGTCCTTCCATCAGATTCAGCATGTGAGAACTTTTGACTTTAAATTAATCATTGTTTAAAGACATTGAATCATTTTGAATGAAAATCGCGACCTGCTTTATACTTTATGAAGTGATGATAATTAATCTTCAATCTGATTATAAGCTTCAATTTAGTACACTTTAAGCTTTTGTTTGATTTATGACAAGATTTAACTCTTCAAAATTAAGCAAACGATTTTAATTTAATTAAAGAGTTTGAAAAATTCATAAGCTGAATTCAACTTTCGACATGTTTTTCCCGAAAAAAGTTCTGCAATTCCTAAATGACACCCACAAAATCTGCTTCATTTTATAAATTTCTTCATCAGCAAACACAAAAAAAAAATGACGAAGCAGCATTTGAAAAAATCTTCTTTTTTTGAATTCTTCAAATTCAAAACATTGAAAAAAATATTTTAAATGAAGAAAATCTTGGAATGAAGGAGGAAGAAGACATAAAACCAGATGAAATGTAAGATGACTCCATATTAAAGGACAAAGGAAACAACACAGGATTACAGAGTTAAATGGCAATGAGGTTTACGATGACGATTTACGAAGAAAAAGTGAACTTAAAAGAACAAACAAGCATGTATGAGACCATGAACGAATGAAAGGAATCAAGCTCAAATCAAGTAATTGCTACTTTAATTCTTAATGAAACTGCTTCACCACTATGATCCTTGCGTAATCTTGAGAATACTACATCTCACTTTTATATTTTCTTCTTTTAACACGAAAAGTGGAACTGCTGAAAAATCTGATTTGAATTGCTTTTCAGACTTTCTCTCACTTTTTCTCCTTGATAACCGTTCTTTTCAATTTAATTTTTTCCAGTTCAGCACCAATTTTAAACTTTACGCTTGAACTTGAAAAACTTACATTTGGAGAAAAAATGCAGCATAAGCAAAAGTTTGGAAGTTAAAAATTGACCAACGAATTGAAACTCTTCAAATGTTAATGGAGCATTTTAAATGATGAAGATGAAGACAGCTCAATTCCAAGCAATTGATGATGAAGATAATAAAGGAAGTGAATTCAGCGACAATTGTCAAGAGTCAATGGAACAACTTCACGTTGATAATAAATACAGTTTAGAAGATGAGGATGAAGTCAGCTCAATAGCAAGCTAGCTCAAAAACAAACAGATTTGATGAAAATATCAAACCAATCAAGACAAAAAACGTGCAAAATTATCCATATCGCAAAGATTATATCCAATTTTATCAGATCAACGGCAGATTCACAAGTTCTAAGAAGAATGCCTATAAAAATGAAGAACCAGATAAGGAATATGGCTGTGCAAATAAAACTGCAAAGCTAAAAGGATCTTCCATGGACCTTCAATGAAATTGAAGAATGGACAACATTTTGAAAGGATCGTGAAACATTTCAGGAAACAGACTCATGTGTGAACAAGGAAACAAGCTCAAATTAAGTAATTGCTACTTTAATTCTCTATGAAAATGCATCACCACTATGATCCGTCTGTAATCTTGAGAATACTCCATCTCACTTTTATATTTTCTATTAATTGCTTCTCAGACTTTCTCTCACTTTTTCTCCTTGATAACCGGTCTTTTTAATTTAATTTTTTCCAGTCCAGCGCCAATTTCAAGCTATTTTTGATACACATCGACTGACTAGCTGGTCATTAAGCAAGACGAATCACCAGCTTCAAGTTCTTCATCCGCCATGTCTGCAAGAAATCGATTTTTAACTCATCATTTACGACAACAAAAAGTAAGTCAACACGAGATTTTAACTTAAATAATTTTTTTTCTTCCATTTTTAGAATATTTACAATATCAAAAATAGGAATCGCCCCAAAGTCCTGTCCAAAATATTTTTCAGGAGTTGGAAAACTTACATTTTGGAGAGAAAATGCTGCAAAAAGGTTTCTGATCTTAATCGGGCAATAAAAGCAACACAAGCCAATTAGATGTAGCCATAATGTTAAGTTCATGAAGAAGAGGCTGCATATAAACCAATTTCATGACTTGAACAAAATAAGCAGCTGGAAGTAAGCTATAGATTGAGTCTTATTTGCCCAAATATTAACAAAGATCCATCACATAGCAATTAAACCTACAACTACAAGCTGGAAATTTTCGAAACAGGAATTCTCACACTATCTGGCTTGATAGTCATTGAACAAGATGAATAGCCAGCTTCAAGTTCTTCAATCGCCCTGTCTGCAAGAAATTGTTTTTAAACTCATCATTTACGACAACAGAAAGTAAGTCAATACAAAACTTTAACATAAATATTTTTTTTCTTCCATTTTTAGGATATTTTCATTATTAAAAATAGGAATCGCCCCACCGTCCTGCCCAAAATTTTTTTTCGGCACTTGAAAAACTTAAATTTTGAAGAAAAATGCTGCAAAAAGGTTTCTGATCTTAATTGGATGACAAAAGCAACACAAGCCAATTAGATGTAGCCATAATGTTAAGTTCATGAAGAAGAGGCTGCATATAAACCAATTTCATGACTTGAACAAAATAAGCAGCTGGAAGTAAGCTATAGATTGAGTCTTATTTGCCCAAATATTAACAAAGATCCATCACATAGCAATTAAACCTACAACTACAAGCTGGAAATTTTCGAAACAGGAATTCTCACACTATCTGGATTGATAGTCATTGAACAAGATGAATAGCCAGCTTCAAGTTCTTCAATCGCCCTGTCTGCAAGAAATTGTTTTTAAACTCATCATTTACGACAACAGAAAGTAAGTCAATACAAAACGTTAACATAAATATTTTTTTTTCTTCCATTTTTAGGATATTTTCATTATTAAAAATAGGAATCGCCCCACCGTCCTGCCCAAAATTTTTTTCGGCACTTGAAAAACTTAAATTTTGAAGAAAAATGCTGCAAAAAGGTTTCTGATCTTAATTGGATGACAAAAGCAACACAAGCCAATTAGATGTAGCCATAATGTTAAGTTCATGAAGAAGAGGCTGCATATAAACCAATTTCATGACTTGAACAAAATAAGCAGCTGGAAGTAAGCTATAGATTGAGTCTTATTTGCCCAAATATTGACAAAGGTCCATCACATAGCAATTAAACCTACAACTACAAGCTGGAAACTTTCGAAACAGGAATTCTCACACTATCTGGATTGATAGTCATTGAACAAGATGAATAGCCAGCTGCGAGTTCTTCAATCGCCCTGTCTGCAAGAAATTGTTTTTAAACTCATCATTTACGACAACAAAAAGTAAGTCAACACGAAACTTTAACATAAATATTTTTTTTTTCTTCCATTTTATAGGATATTTTCAATATTAAAAAAAAAACTTTTTAAAAAACTACGTTTTTCGCGTAGACTAAAAAGTAGAAAATAACTTTTATTCTTGGTTGTAAAGAATTTGGTTTTAAATTTTCAGATTATATTTAATAAATTTTTATATCCTAGTCAATATTGTTCACAAAGTTTCGAATAAGTGCACTTTGATCTTATCGTATAACTCAACAACTTAAAAACGTGGGCGCATTAATTTAAGTTTATCATAAAGTATTGATTTCACATAAACTTATTTCTCCTCTTATAATGCGCCCACGTTTTTAAGTTGTTGAGTTATACGATAAGATCAAAGTGCACTTATTCGAAACTTTGTGAACAATATTGACTAGGATATAAAAATTTATTAAATATAATCTGAAAATTTAAAACCAAAATTCTTTACAACCAAGAATAAAAGTTATTTTCTACTTTTTAGTCTACGCGAAAAACGTAGTTTTTTAAAAAGTTTTTTTTATAAAGTATTTTATTTTCTACTTTTTAGTCTTATTCTAATGAAATAGAGAAATAAAGATTATAGGGGGTTTATAGGTTACAGGTGTGTTGAACTCCACTTCGTTGCACTTCGTTACGTTCAACTGTTTATAGATTAGAGTAGGTTTATAGGTTACAGGTGTGTTGAACTTCACTTCGTTGCACTTCGTTACGTTCAACTGTTTATAGATTACAGTAGGTTTATAGGTTACAGGTGTGTTGAACTTCACTTCGTTGCACTTCGTTACGTTCAACTGTTTATAGATTACAGTAGGTTCATAGGTTACAGGTGTGTTGAACTTCACTTCGTTGCACTTCGTTACGTTCAACTGTTTATAGATTACAGTAGGTTCATAGGTTACAGGTGTGTTGAACTTCACTTCGTTGCACTTCGTTACGTTCAACTGTTTATAGATTACAGTAGGTTTATAGGTTACAGGTGTGTTGAACTTCACTTCGTTGCACTTCGTTACGTTCAACTGTTTATAGATTACAGTAGGTTCATAGGTTACAGGTGTGTTGAACTTCACTTCGTTTCACTTCGTTACGTTCAACTGTTTATAGATTACAGTAGGTTCATAGGTTACAGGTGTGTTGAACTTCACTTCGTTGCACTTCGTTACGTTCAACTGTTTATAGATTACAGTAGGTTCATAGGTTACAGGTGTGTTGAACTTCACTTCGTTGCACTTCGTTACGTTCAACTGTTTATAGATTACAGTAGGTTCATAGGTTACAGGTGTGTTGAACTTCACTTCGTTGCACTTCGTTACGTTCAACTGTTTATAGATTACAGTAGGTTCATAGGTTACAGGTGTGTTGAACTTCACTTCGTTGCACTTCGTTACGTTCAACTGTTTATAGATTACAGTAGGTTCATAGGTTACAGGTGTGTTGAACTCCACTCCGTTTCACTCCGTTACGTTCAACTGCTTATAGATTACAGTAGGTTTATAGGTTACAGGTGTGTTGAACTCCACTTCGTTGCACTTCGTAACGTTCAACTGTTTATAGATTACAGTAGGTTCATAGGTTACAAGTGTGTTGAACTTCACTTCTTTGCACTTCGTTACGTTCAACTGTTTATAGATTACAGTAGGTTCATAGGCTACAGGTGTGTTGAACTCCACTCCGTTTCACTCCGTTACGTTCAACTGTTTATAAATTACCAGTTTTCAATGGGAAATTAGTAACGACTTTCAAAATTTTTTCATTCGTTTTATAAAATTTAATTTTTTTAAAGCATTCATTAGTGAAGTACATTAAAAATCACTCGTAAAGATTTTGTGTTTATCTGTACCATTTCTACTTCATAACGTGTGGATTCTTAACATAAAGATGCAAATTACATCACATATGTAACGTATTTATAACGGATTTTCAAATTTAAATTCAATGAGTATCATTTATATGTTATGCAAAAATACGTCAAGCCGTTAATAAAATGAAAAGTCAATTTAATTAAGTTGGTGAAGTGTTATAAATAATGCAATACATTTAAAACAGCATAAATTTATGCTCAAACTATGTGTGGTAAATGCATATCTCATATATATAGTTATTTTGCATTAATTCGTAACGTATTTATTGCTTAACGGTTTTTTTGAAAATTCAAATTTTCACTTACGAATATTCATGAAAAAATTACATGTCAATTTTTTTGTCTTACCAGAATATCTTTAGCTGCTCAAATTTATGGTATAATTAATAATTAGTAATAATTATTAAACTATAATGAATCATATAAATGACTTTTGAGCATTTCAAGTATAATATTTTAAACAAATCAAAATTTCATATCATTGACGTTGGATTTTTTCCCATATAAAAAAGTTTTACATAAATTGTACTATAATTAAGCATTTTTGTGGTTCCAAAGTGTTAAAATATTGTATTGTCACCGGGAATACGTGTGAATAAAAAATTTGAGCTCGATTGGAGCAGGTGAAGTGGTCGAAAAATCGATTACAAGATTTGCCCTCGACAATCAATCAAACAGATAAGAAAGCAAGTTAAGAAAAACGTAGTAAAATAGGAATCGCCCCACCGTCCTGCACAAAATTTTTTTCGGCACTTGGAAAACTTAAATTTTGAAGAAAAATGCTGCAAAAAGGTTTCTGATCTTAATTGGATGACAAAAGCAACACAAGCCAATTAGATGTAGCCATAATGTTAAGTTCATGAAGAAGAGGCTGCATATAAACCAATTTCATGACTTGAACAAAATAAACAGCTGGAAGTAAGCTATAGATTGAGTCTTATTTGCCCAAATATTAACAAAGATCCATCACATAGCAATTAAACCTACAACTACAAGCTGGAAATTTTCGAAACAGGAATTCTCACACTATCTGGATTGATAGTCATTGAACAAGATGAATAGCCAGCTTCAAGTTCTTCAATCGCCCTGTCTGCAAGAAATTGTTTTTAAACTCATCATTTACGACAACAAAAAGTAAGTCAATAAGAAACTTTAACATAAATATTTTTTTTTCTTCCATTTTTAGGATATTTTCATTATTAAAAATAGGAATCGCCCCACCGTCCTGCCCAAACCCTATTAACTGATCCTTCGAAATTGAACTCAGGCAAGGAATTGTACATTAAGGTTTTTTCTAATAAGGAAGATGGTACCAAAAAATTCATCGAAAATTAATTCTTATGACTTATGACTTAATAATGCTTCCAATTATTTCTATGATTTATCCTTTTGGTGTTGTGTTCTATTCCTCATATTTAGATGCCGATAAAGTCACTGTTTATTCAAAGAACAATGCTGATGAACAATATGTTGGGAAATTATCTATCTGCAGAAGGAAGCTTTACAATTGGTATTGATAAATCTTCAGGGCGTGGTACAAAGATTGTATTATACATTAAAGAAGATCAGAACGAATATTTGGAAGAATCTAAGATCAAGAAAAAAAAAACGTCAAAGTTAAGTATAGAGTTAAGATGAGGAACTTAGCCAGACTTACAACTGAAGAACATAATTATTTCTACAAGAGCTCACAAAACGACTCGGAAGATCATTTAGCTGTTAAGCATTTCAGCGATGAATCCCAACTGGAATTCTTTGTATTGCTTTCTGTTCCGTGTCAAATCCCATTCGATTTATTTGAAGCTAAAAAGAAGAAGAATAACACCGAATTGATTGTTCGTCCTGTTTTCATTATGGACAATTGAAAAGATCTCATTCCTGATTATTAGAACTTTATAAAGGGTATTGTTGATTCCGAAGATTTACCACTAAACATCATTAAATGTCACAACAAAACAAGATTTTTCAAGTTATTCGTAAATTAATAAGCTTCATTACGGGTGAGAAAAAGAACATTCATGTTGTATTGTTACATGTCCTAAGTGGATGGTTCGTAAATGTTTTATGCAATAAATACTTAATTTAAATTTTGAATCAAAATATTTAATATTTTTTGCTTAACAATGGAACAAACAGGAACAAGCAATGAATAATTATTCGATGTGACTGATTAAATTGGACCGTTACTGACTGAAAAGTTAAAGTTAAATCTCCTTTACTAAGCGCTGATGATATACTAATTAGCATATAATAAAAATTATGTTAAATTTTTGAAATCAATTTTCTCTAAGGCTATAGATCTGTAACTCTATATTCCAACGATTTCAGCCCTTTATGTCCTTCCATCAGATTCAGCATGTGAGAACTTTTGACTTTAAATTAATCATTGTTTAAAGACATTGAATCATTTTGAATGAAAATCGCGACCTGCTTTATACTTTATGAAGTTATGATAATTAATCTTCAATCTGATTATAAGCTTCAATTTAGTACACTTTAAGCTTTTGTTTGATTTATGACAAGATTTAACTCTTCAAAATTAAGCAAACGATTTTAATTTAATTAAAGAGTTTGAAAAATTCATAAGCTGAATTCAACTTTCGACATGTTTTTCCCGAAAAAAGTTCTGCAATTCCTAAATGACACCCACAAAATCTGCTTCATTTTATAAATTTCTTCATCAGCAAACACAAAAAAAAATGACGAAGCAGCATTTGAAAAAATCTTCTTTTTTTGAATTCTTCAAATTCAAAACATTGAAAAAAATATTTTAAATGAAGAAAATCTTGGAATGAAGGAGGAAGAAGACATAAAACCAGATGAAATGTAAGATGACTCCATATTAAAGGACAAAGGAAACAACACAGGATTACAGAGTTAAATGGCAATGAGGTTTACGATGACGATTTACGAAGAAAAAGTGAACTTAAAAGAGCAAACAAGCATGTATGAGACCATGAACGAATGAAAGGAATCAAGCTCAAAGTAAGTAATTGCTACTTTAATTCTTTATGAAACTGCTTCACCACTATGATCCTTGCGTAATCTTGAGAATACTACATCTCACTTTTATATTTTCTTCTTTTAACACGAAAAGTGGAACTGCTGAAAAATCTGATTTGAATTGCTTTTCAGACTTTCTCTCACTTTTTCTCCTTGATAACCGTTCTTTTCAATTTAATTTTTTCCAGTTCAGCACCAATTTTAAACTTTACGCTTGAACTTGAAAAACTTACATTTGGAGAAAAAATGCAGCATAAGCAAAAGTTTGGAAGTTAAAAATTGACCAACGAATTGAAACTCTTCAAATGTTAATGGAGCATTTTAAATGATGAAGATGAAGACAGCTCAATTCCAAGCAATTGATGATGAAGATAATAAAGGAAGTGAATTCAGCGACAATTGTCAAGAGTCAATGGAACAACTTCACGTTGATAATAAATACAGTTTAGAAGATGAGGATGAAGTCAGCTCAATAGCAAGCTAGCTCAAAAACAAACAGATTTGATGAAAATATCAAACCAATCAAGACAAAAAACGTGCAAAATTATCCATATCGCAAAGATTATATCCAATTTTATCAGATCAACGGCAGATTCACAAGTTCTAAGAAGAATGCCTATAAAAATGAAGAACCAGATAAGGAATATGGCTGTGCAAATAAAACTGCAAAGCTAAAAGGATCTTCCATGGACCTTCAATGAAATTGAAGAATGGACAACATTTTGAAAGGATCGTGAAACATTTCAGGAAACAGACTCATGTGTGAACAAGGAAACAAGCTCAAATTAAGTAATTGCTACTTTAATTCTCTATGAAAATGCATCACCACTATGATCCGTCTGTAATCTTGAGAATACTCCATCTCACTTTTATATTTTCTATTAATTGCTTCTCAGACTTTCTCTCACTTTTTCTCCTTGATAACCGGTCTTTTTAATTTAATTTTTTCCAGTCCAGCGCCAATTTCAAGCTATTTTTTGATACAGGAATTTTCACATCGACTGACTAGCTGGTCATTAAGCAAGACGAATCACCAGCTTCAAGTTCTTCATCCGCCATGTCTGCAAGAAATCGATTTTTAACTCATCATTTACGACAACAAAAAGTAAGTCAACACGAGATTTTAACTTAAATAATTTTTTTTCTTCCATTTTTAGAATATTTACAATATCAAAAATAGGAATCGCCCCAAAGTCCTGTCCAAAATATTTTTCAGGAGTTGGAAAACTTAGATTTTGGAGAGAAAATGCTGCAAAAAGGTTTCTGATCTTAATCGGGCAACAAAAGCAACACAAGCCAATTAGATGTAGCCATAATGTTAAGTTCATGAAGAAGAGGCTGCATATAAACCAATTTCATGACTTGAACAAAATAAGCAGCTGGAAGTAAGCTATAGATTGAGTCTTATTTGCCCAAATATTAACAAAGATCCATCACATAGCAATTAAACCTACAACTACAAGCTGGAAATTTTCGAAACAGGAATTCTCACACTATCTGGATTGATAGTCATTGAACAAGATGAATAGCCAGCTTCAAGTTCTTCAATCGCCCTGTCTGCAAGAAATTGTTTTTAAACTCATCATTTACGACAACAAAAAGTAAGTCAATACGAAACTTTAACATAAATATTTTTTTTTCTTCCATTTTTAGGATATTTTCATTATTAAAAATAGGAATCACCCCACCGTCCTTCCCAAAATTTTTTTCGGCACTTGGAAAACTTAAATTTTGAAGAAAAATGCTGCAAAAAGGTTTCTGATCTTAATTGGATGACAAAAGCAACACAAGCCAATTAGATGTAGCCATAATGTTAAGTTCATGAAGAAGAGGCTGCATATAAACCAATTTCATGACTTGAACAAAATAAGCAGCTGGAAGTAAGCTATAGATTGAGTCTTATTTGCCCAAATATTAACAAAGGTCCATCACATAGCAATTAAACCTACAACTACAAGCTGGAAATTTTCAAAACAGGAATTCTCACACTATCTGGATTGATAGTCATTGAACAAGATAAATAGCCAGCTTCAAGTTCTTCAATCGCCCTGTCTGCAAGAAATTGTTTTTAAACTCATCATTTACGACAACAAAAAGTAAGTCAATACGAAACTTTAACATAAATATTTTTTTTTCTTCCATTTTTAGGATATTTTCATTATTAAAAATAGGAATCGCCCCACCGTCCTGCCCAAACCCTATTAACTGATCCTTCGAAATTGAACTCAGGCAAGGAATTGTACATTAAGGTTTTTTCTAATAAGGAAGATGGTACCAAAAAATTCATCGAAAATTAATTCTTATGACTTATGACTTAATAATGCTTCCAATTATTTCTATGATTTATCCTTTTGGTGTTGTGTTCTATTCCTCATATTTAGATGCCGATAAAGTCACTGTTTATTCAAAGAACAATGCTGATGAACAATATGTTGGGAAATTATCTATCTGCAGAAGGAAGCTTTACAATTGGTATTGATAAATCTTCAGGGCGTGGTACAAAGATTGTATTATACATTAAAGAAGATCAGAACGAATATTTGGAAGAATCTAAGATCAAGAAAAAAAAAACGTCAAAGTTAAGTATAGAGTTAAGATGAGGAACTTAGCCAGACTTACAACTGAAGAACATAATTATTTCTACAAGAGCTCACAAAACGACTCGGAAGATCATTTAGCTGTTAAGCATTTCAGCGATGAATCCCAACTGGAATTCTTTGTATTGCTTTCTGTTCCGTGTCAAATCCCATTCGATTTATTTGAAGCTAAAAAGAAGAAGAATAACACCGAATTGATTGTTCGTCCTGTTTTCATTATGGACAATTGAAAAGATCTCATTCCTGATTATTAGAACTTTATAAAGGGTATTGTTGATTCCGAAGATTTACCACTAAACATCATTAAATGTCACAACAAAACAAGATTTTTCAAGTTATTCGTAAATTAATAAGCTTCATTACGGGTGAGAAAAAGAACATTCATGTTGTATTGTTACATGTCCTAAGTGGATGGTTCGTAAATGTTTTATGCAATAAATACTTAATTTAAATTTTGAATCTAAATATTTAATATTTTTTGCTTAACAATGGAACAAACAGGAACAAGCAATGAATATTTATTCGATGTGACTGATTAAATTGGACCGTTACTGACTGAAAAGTTAAAGTTAAATCTCCTTTACTAAGCGCTGATGATATACTAATTAGCATATAATAAAAATTATGTTAAATTTTTGAAATCAATTTTCTCTAAGGCTATAGATCTGTAACTCTATATTCCAACGATTTCAGCCCTTTATGTCCTTCCATCAGATTCAGCATGTGAGAACTTTT